ATGATACACATGACTTTTGTCGAGTGCAAGGTCTCAACTAACGTACATGCTTAAACCTATGGTCTATTGTAAAGATTTCCAATAATCCATGTCCCATACGAAACTTTAATTTTTTCTTTAACGATTTTGCCACATTCATACACATATCAAAGTAAAAACAATGAGTTCGTTCAATTACATCAACTTTCATCCATCCTTTATATTAGTCATTATTCTTTTAAGATTGAATAAATCTGGATTGAATTAAATTTAAATCGTAAGAATTCAAAAGAATAGGCAATTATACACTTACGTAATTCAAACTTTGTCCCATTTTATCTTATCTACACAATTGCATGCATATATTCTCTTTTAATAAGCTCCCGACAAGTTTCTACATAAAAGGGTATCAAGTGAAGTTCCAAAACAAATTCATTCACAATAAAAGTAGCGCAAAATCCTACTTAAGTATTTCGAGCTAAACTAATTTAAACCTGTCAATACAAATATGCTGATTTAAACTTGCTTATCAATACAAACATACTCGTATTAGTCGTATTTATAGAACAATTAGCCATTCAAACTAGCCAAACAAAACTAACTAAAAACCATAACTTGGTTTCCTAACAATACTCAAAAGTTCAAGATTTGTTAGATTTCCTTTCAAGTGAGGACAAGCATGAAGCATATCTTATAATCTTAATATACTTCGTAGTTCCTAGGAGTTGGCACAAATTAAAGGGGCGTTAAGTCCAAAATCCGACCGTGCAAAATACGGTAAGGGCGACCTTGGAAAGCGTGATTATATTCTACTCTTACCACCTCCACACTTGGTGCCCTTATTTAACTTCTGTAAAGTTATAAAGTTTACACTCAAAGATGGAAAAAAAGAAGGGAACCCAAATTACAAAAGAACCCCAAAAGTTAAAGGCCACAACCCCAATACGATTATGAATGAATACTTTCATACTTTGTATATTGTAGTGCTAAATTAAAGTTTAAAGCTCATTTTATCCTGCCTTCCCTTTTTCTTTCTTAGCCGAAAGCACTCCCATCCATAAAAATTATCACATTCACAAATCACTCCCATCCATAAAAATTCGATTAGTACTCCTTATAAGAAAAGTGGTAAGTGTGGAGATTAAAAATTAAATATTGTGAATTTTATATTAAGCACTAATATATATCTTTGTCATAATATTAATGGCTAGATAGTTTATGAATTATTTGCAGCTTGTTTTGCTTTGGATACCAGAACAAATTCTCAAAAAAAAAAAAAAAAAAAAAAAAAAAAAGATACCAGAACAAATATACTACATAATTCATTTTGCAACACGTACAATTAGGTCTTATTTATCTAGGATATTGTTAAGTACAAAATTATACCATAAAGGTATAAAACTAAAAGTCTTTTTTTTTTTTTTTTTTTTTTTTTTTTTTTTTTTTATATAGTACCCATGTGGACATAAACTCGACTCGCCTTTTAAGGCCTTGTTTGGTTGATGTAGGAAGTAAATTCCCATGGAAAATTCTAATTTATGGAAAATTATTTCCTTCATTAAAATTCCTAGGAATTGCATAAATATGTTTGGTTGTTATGTAGAAATTTGTAAATCCTAAGAATTGTGAATGACTAAGGGAGGGGTGGGTAAGTAACTTCCCATGTTTTGTGGGAAGTGAAAATTCCCATGAATTGTGACTTTCTCCATTTTTGCTTTTTAATGTCAACCAAACAACATACCTAAAAGGAAATTTATGGGAATTTTGAATGCCCATGTAAACTAAAGGCGACCAAACAACACCTAAGTTTAAGTTGTATAACAAAAAAAACTCATCATATGAATTCTTCAATCAACTTTTAAATCCCCCTCCATTCCCTTAGAGCTTTATTTAGACAATTTTAGACTTGAACTCGAATCTCAACCCTAGATTGGAGCATACTGCATACCACATAAATTAGCTATTCAAGTGTCATACATTCACAAATCACAACTATTGAGGAACGAAAAACCACCATAGCATTATCTTTTCCACCCATTATTTAATTAAATAGTGCAATAGATACAAAACAAATTGCAATTTTATGGAATACCTTTAAATTCTCAACTCTTAATCATTTGTTTGTACAGTCAACACATCACAAATAAAATAAAGGACAATGTCTAAACTTTAGAAACACTAGGAACTAGCTAGGATGAAAGTCTAAATCGATTGATGGCCTAATATCCTAAATTCTTTAGTAATTGACTAGAATAATCGTAAAGTTTGTCACTCATATAAATATTTAAAAAAGAATCAAACTTATTCTGCACTATGCATGCACTAAATTGAGTATCCAAAATTTTTAATAATATAGTGCACGATGTATATGCATGCTTAATTTCTTACATTGATGGTTAGGTTGACCCCAAGAATAGAACAAATTCTAGATACGTTGATTTATTAAAGAAACTACTATAATATAAGTTGACTTTTTATTTAATACGCATTATTAACCGTAAATTCCTAACATAAGCTACTATTTGTTGACTTTTTATTTATCCTAATCCTCTTTAAATGATCATTGAATTAGGTTTATGGTAAACTCCCTCCGTTCTTGAAAGAAGGTTATATTTGGTGATTTTACGTGATTATTAAGAAAAATTAGATAGTGAAAATCAATAATTAGATATAACTGATATAATTATTATTATACAAGTTTCTGTTAGCTAGATGTCCTTGCTAAATTTTTAGTAGCACTAATTGATAAGATTAGACATATAGAGTAGGTAATTTTGAAATGATTAGTACCTTTAATAAATTAAGAATGATTTATAATATCAAATTATCGATCATGTTGAATCGCATAATTTTGAACTTATGTTATGGTTATAATTTTCCACCTTACTATTACCAATTATGAATGATAGTAATTCACACATTTTTTAATTTTTAGCTAGTTAGATGCCATACAATTAAACTTCGAAAACAAGCTAACTTGTACGTTTCTTGTTGTTGTTTATTGAAAAATAATCCTAACACTGTATTACAAAAACATTTACTTGTATTTGATTATTTCATTTGGAAGCTTCCATGTAATTTGTCACAACTCATAAGGCTCTTGGTTTGTGATTCCTTTCAATTCACCTGAAAATTATTAAAAATGGATTAATGCCTTCCACTAAGCATGCATTAAAGCAAAGTGAGATTTGACTGATCATATATTACGTGACAAATTACTTTATTTTATACAGTAATTTGTGTAATATGTATGCTACAGTACCTTATATAATTAATTACTGTAATTATTAGCATTGTGCCAGTGTATAGTTTGTTTGCAGCCTTTCAGGTACTCCATTCATATTCAACAAAAATATGCCAAAAATTTAAAGAGGGACATAATAAATCTACCACAAGATCGAACAAAGTAAGAGAAAGCGATTATCTTATTTTGGTCCATAATATATGCCTAAAGTTAGGAATACATATAATGCGCACCAAATGAACAGATTTTATAGGAATAGGATGATTTGATTGAAGTTCTAGCATATCATTCCTTTCTTTGTTCGGCCAAATTACTTTAGTTTGTAAAATTCTTGTATATGCGTGTTGCTACCCCTCGTTGACATTCTCAATTATTTAGCTCAAAGAATATTGCAAGTTTCCAACTTGCACTACAATGGAGAATAAAATAACAAATGGTAAGAGAATATATTATCTCAAAAGAGAATATTTCTCTCAATTCGGGATTACTACGATGATGTTACCTCGATCTCTTATAATTGAGGTTAGATATGGCTTTTCAAAATTATCCTTTACGGTAGTCATGGTATCTATCTTCCTCATCACTTCATATTATGGATCCGAATCCATTATTTTTACCCTATCCTTTCATTCATAGTTGTAGGTTGTATCGTATTCCTTGTTACTACTTTATACGACGACAATAGTATGTGTAATTAGTGATTTAGGTATTACTCATGACTCAAATATTATGTGGATTTGGCCCAAGCATTTTGTAAATCATAAATACATTATTCTGACCTACCCTTTACCCTTAATCTAGTTGATGGGCTGGAGTACTTTGTTATTTTTGTTAGAAACCTATGTTTTATTGGGCCTTCATTTTTCAAAAGCATGAGTTTTGCAGTTTAAAAAATTGTGTCAAATATTTGTATTTATATTCTAAGGGCCGTTTGATTGGGGTTAATAATCAAAGCGAATGGAAATGAACTGATATCATTCCTTTTGTTGTTGTTTGTTTGTCACTTTTTTTTATTCTCTTTACCCATTTTTATTTTTGAGTTTACCCAAAATTAGTCTACTTTGATTCCCCACCCCCCCTAGACTTTTCCATTCCCTTTCTTTAGCCACCATACCCACCACCATCCTACTCGCCGGAACTCGCCCAACCACCTCATCGGACTCGCCGCACCTCCCCAACTTCTCGCTGGAACCGTCGCACCTCCCCCACCTCTTGCCGGGACCCGTCACACCTCCCCCACCTCTCCCCTCGAAAATATCTCCTCTCCCTAGAAAACCTTCCACCACCCACGCAAAACCCTAGAAACCACTCTCCTTCCACTTAAGATCGTCGGCCGACCATCCTACCACCCTCGAAACCTTAGCCGCTAAGGTTTCGAGGGTGGTAGGATGGTCGGCCGACGATCTTAAGTGGAAGGAGAGTGGTTTCTAGGGTTTTGCGTGGGTGGTGGAAGGTTTTCTAGGGAGGGGAGGGGCGGCAAGGGGTGGGCCGGGGGAGGTGCGCCTGAGGGCCGACTAGTTCCGTCGAGGCTGGGTGGTGGGGTGGCTGAAATAGTGGAATTGTGAAGAAAGAGGGGGTTGTGTGGTGGTGGTGGTGATTCCCTTTGTTTTTTGAAAACAAACAACATACTACATGTAAAGGGTTTCATTCCATTCTCTTACATTCCCTTCGTTCATTCCATTCTGATTCCCCTGCGCGAACCAAGCGACCCCTAAAAAGTCCGTATCATTATAATTTGAAGATAACTTTCTTGGAATCTTTATCTTTTTGCGAGGCAAAAAAGATTTCATTATTTGTAGACAGTATTACATTATGTAAAAAATGGTGTGAACTTCACTGCTACACTGCAAATCATAATACATGTTTTGAAATTTCATCTTACACTTGAAAATATTTGTAACAAACATTGGGAATTACAGTAATTACTAGAAACATTATCAACCATATTGATCAATATGGGTTTTAATCTGTTTAGTCAATAATTGAAAATTGACTCAACGAAGTGTTGAATTATTTTAGAACTTGTACTATATAACTAGTGTCCATTTCTTTTTATATCATCCTTCCAACCCATACATTTGTAGTACTCAACTTCGTTCATGTTACATCCTTGGCCTAGCAAGCACCACATCCCCGTTACCCATGTCCGAACTCGCTCCTGGCCTAGTCCATGTTTCCTTGAATTGTTCCTCCGTAACCCCTGTCGTAATCAACACCCACAAAGAGGGACAAAAAACTCGTTAGCACACACAAATTTTAAAATAAACTCGTAGTACAAAAAGTCAAAATCGCTAATTTATTTTATTTTATTTTATGATTCGAGTTCAAAGTTACTTTGAAAATAAAAAGAAAGTAGGGAGAGTATATTGTGACCTTTGCCCATGGCCGCGGTTGAGGTGATACCACCCTGAACAGTCCTTAACACACGATCGTAGTAATTGGCACCCGACCATTTCTGATGTGCAAGAGTATCAACTCCATTAGTTCTTTCCTCCCTTTGAATCCTTTCAACATAAGCTAGCATACCCCTCTGAGCATAGTCTTTAGCAAAAGTGTCAATGACTAAAGCATCAGCATGAAAACCAGCAAGAGTAATGAACTGCCAACAAAACCCGAGCTTGGCAATCTTAGGGATAAAGTCCATCATTTGCTGATCATTCATACCAGACGCGTCCCAATTGAATGAAGGCGAGAGATTATAGGCTAACATCATTTCAGGCTGCCTCGACTTCACCCCATTGGCGAATTTAGTACACTCGAGGAGGTCAGGACCCGAGGTCTCCATCCAGATTAAGTCTGCATGAGGAGCGAATGCCCATCCACGCAAAATGGCAGCATCGACGGACCCCTTAAACCTGTAGAACCCTTCCCTAGTCCTTGGCAAGTCCCAGTCCCAAAACAGGTTTTGGAGACCTAACTTTGATGCAACCTCTCTGGCTTCTTCATTGGACAAACACTTATCGAAGCTTGAGTGATTCTTCCACTCATTAAGTCTCATATTCTTCTCCTTTTCACCTATTCCATTCAGTCCCTTGATTGCATCACTTACACATTCAGAGAAAGTCTTCAGTTGTGCTTTTGATAGCCACTTGTCTTCTAGAGCTTGCAGCTCAGGCCCTGACTTACCTGCAGTGGCGAATTTAGCATTTTAAATTTAAGATATCGACATAAAAAAAAAGGGTGTCAATTTACGCCCCAAATCAATTAGTGTAGCCCTTGCATCCTTGCTTACCTGAATTGGTGGCCTCAAAGAGGATAGTAGCAAGGCCCTTGCCACGAAGAGCCGGGTTAGTAGCCCCCAAGATGAACTGGTGGTCGCGAGTATCAATATTAGACTGAATTAAGGAAGCTGCCACAGAGTCAGTCCTAGCCACCAAAACAGTCTCAGTCCCCATCACATCAAATTGTAGTCTAGAAGCCACGAGTCGGTTGATGTGTTCACTAACCGGTACCAAAACCTTACCACCCATATGACCACACTTCTTAGTCACCGAAGACTGATCCTCTATATGAACTCCAGCGGCACCACGCTCCACAAAAAGCTTACACAACTTAACAGTAGCAGAAGCACCACCAAAACCAGTATCCCCATCAGCAATAATAGGCTTAAGGTAATCAACATAAGGTGTTTGAGCCCTCTCCTCGCGAGGCAGGCTCATACGAGCCTCCCTTTGCTTTCTATCATGATATTGTTGTGCAAAGAAGAGGTGTTCCACCTTATTGGGGACGGTATCATAGGGGTAGTCAGCAAGGTCAGGGCCAGGTTCGTTCGTGGAAGTATGTGTAGACGAGCACTGCCACCCCGACACATAAATCGTGTCGAGGTGCTTTGCCATCATGGTGACTTGGACAGGGTCCAATGCACCAAAGGTCCTAGAGGCAGTACCCTTAGCTTGGTGGTTCTTAAGGGTACACCATAACTTCTTGGCTAGGTCGTTTGAGGCGTAGTTTTGCCTGAGGGTGCCTCGAAGAGAGACGATGTCTCGGGCCAAGTATGGGCGATGAGTTAGCTTGAAGCGATCAGTGTTCCACCATGCTTGCACCTCTGCTACCTCTGCTTCGAATCGAGCTTCTTCCTCCATTATCTATACATACCAAATATGCAGCATAACATGAATAAACTATTTTGTACCTTATCTTAATAAAATTAACAAGTAATTTTAATAAATGGTAGTCACTGTTACATATATACAGTCCAAAAACGATCGAATTCTAAAAAAAAGGACTTAACATAAATGTTTAGCTGAAATACAGAGATTATTTTAGATGAAATACAGAGATTATTTTAGATGAAATAGCACGAAACAACATTAGAATTAGATATTTTACTTATCTCTGACTAGCATGTATATATAGCAGATTTGCTTCATATGAATGTTGTTTTTTTGGTTGAACATATAAAAAATGTGGTTCTGAAACAATATTTAAATAGAATGGGAATTATTTTATAAGTAGATTGCTAAACACCGCCATAAAATATGATCACCTCCGCCATCGGTGTGAATGGACAATCATGCCCATACTACTTCACCATCCCTTATTCTCTTCGGCGACCCACCACCCCTTCCGACAACCACCACCACCATGACCAGCGACCCACCACATCCCCCTCAATGACGACCCACCACCTCCCCTCGCCGGCGAGAAGGTGGTGGTTTTTTTTTTTTTTTTTTTTTTTTATTATTTTCGGCAACTGAAGCCCAAAACTGGTTACCGAGCACGGTAACCAGTTTTAGGCTCCGGTTACCGCGCACAGTAAACGGTTACTGTGGAGCCCAAAACCGGTTACTGTGGTTGGTAACCGATTTTAGGCTCCAGTTACCGCAGTTGTCGGAAATAAAAAAAAAAAAACCACCACCTTTCCATCGGCGAGGGAAGGTGGTGGGTCATCATTGAAGGGGATGTGGCGGGTCGCCGGTCAGGGTGGTGGTGGTGGTTGTCACCGGTCAGTGTGGTGGTGTTGGTGGTTGCCGATCAAGGTGGTGATGCCAAGGTATTAGTGATTGGTGGCAAAAGGAAAGGTAGTGGTAAAGTAACAAGGCATGGTTATCCATTCAAGCTAAATGTTAGCAATTTTGATATTTTTTATGGCGGTATACATAAATTGGCAAGTAAATTAGCCTTATGTCAAAGTCTTATGGAATTATATATGATACACTAATTAATTCTTGTAAAAAAAATATATATACTTTGTATATATGATACACATTTTCCCTTTTTTTTTTTTTAATAAAAATATATAATACACAAATTAATGGTGTAGTATGTTTATCTTTTTAAATTTGGAAGAATTTATTTAAGCAGTCCTAATTTTAGGCAATTTGCTATAAAAAGTCACACCATTGGTTTTAGTTTATCTTAGATTTTTCCCAACTTTGATATGCGATTTATTTTAATGGATCTTTTTACCCACTACAAATATACAATAGGTAAAAATTAGTGTCAGGTCGTGTGCCAAACGCGTGACTTTTACTGAATTTTTGATAAAATTTATTGATGATGATAAAATTACAACGAAAAACAAATGATTGGGAATAGAGTTGCATTACTAGGACATTAGCTTGAAAGTTTCATTGCAATGTAACATTAATTTAGTTTTAATACCACCATTTATTTATCACCGTAATGAGAATATGAGACATTATAAATGTGTTAGAATGAAGCCAAAAGAATTATGATTTTTAGTAGAACTAGAAGGATGAGTAATTTATTTAATATGCCCCAAAAAACCTTAGCATATTTAGTTAATAATAGCAAACGTGTAAAATGTTCTAATTTTTCGACTTTATCCCATTTTGAAAAAAATAAATTAATTCATAACTGTTAGAGCTACAATTAGTTTAAAAGTTTTATATGTTTACCTTCATCTCTACAGCATACAAGTGATGCAACTATCGTATGAGCACTACAAATCAACAATAAACTTATATATTGTGATATAAATAAATTAACAAAACTTAGAATTACTAAACAAAAATTGCACGTTTACCATTGAAGGCACCGTCGTGAAAGTTGAAGCCATTGCTATACTTCAATTGCCTGCCAAGTGGAGGAGAATAAAGAAGAAACAAAGATAACTAAAAACTTAAGAGATAATATAAATTTAGGATATGATAAATGAATAACAAAAATAATGTTGATGCAATGGCTTCTTCCTTGTCTTATTTATAGAAAAAAATGATCACACCATTATTTGACAGCATGGTTAACACGAATGCTAGCTCCTTGCAGATAACAACAAAAAATCCAATTAATCCATATTTTCATTATTAATTAATTTATTACTAGGGTGCCTTAAAATGAGGACAAAAACAGTTATCTACTTATCTTTTACCGTACTAGGTAGATGTTTTATTACAAATATTACAGTACATATTTTGTACCATGTATTTGATTAAATATTACAAATACTAGGTTGTCCTAGTAATTATCTATGACACTTAAATTTATATCCTTGTCTGTCCAATTATCTATGACACTTAAATTAAATTTATATCCTTGTCTGTACAATCTACCTTATTTTCACATATTTATGGTCTAATAACTTCAGATAAATTTATTAAAATTCAGAATAATAAAGTTATAAAAAATGTTTACTTAAGTTCAAATTACAACTTAAATATAATTTAATAAGCTAAGAGAGTGAGAGATAACTCAAGTGGTTAGAGTTCCCATCCTCGTTCCAAGAGATCTTAGAATCAAATTTCATTACCCGTCTTGTGGCTCTCTAAACACCAAAAAAAAAAAAAAAGGCCCAGGTCTATAGAGTTATCTACACTAGATTGGACACTTATGTAATTTTTTATTTATTTATTTATTTTTTATTATTATTATTATTATTATTATTATTATTATTATTATTATTATTATTATTATTATTATTATTATTATTATTATTATAAAATGTTGGAAATATATGGTTGTTGTTGTTGGTGGTGGTGGTGGTGGTGTTAAGTTGTGAGTATATGTGTTTTCTTGGCTTAGGCATAATTAAGATTTTTCTGATAGTTTGTAAAAAAATAAATTTTCATAGGATTAATTCAAAATTTATACTTAATTCATTTGATCCAAATTAGTTGAGGTTAATATGTTTTGTGTTTACACTATTTTATAGACTTTACTTCAATAAGCTTTTGTGATTTATATATAAGAAAAAAAAAAGTCATGTGTGAAATCTTATTAGAATTTTCTCTACATGCATGTATTCCATAATACAACTTCTTATAATATTTTACTTGTCGATATAGAGATATTTATATAACTTAATTTAGATGATGCGCAGGTAAAATCTTGATGAAATTCCCACATATATATTGATTTTATCATTTTATCACAGGCCAATAATTGAACATATTATCTACAATCGAATAAAAATAATATCTAAGCTAGTTTGAATGTTAAAAAAATTTAAAGATTGAAATCCAAGACTTGAAAATAAAATTTCATTCGTATCACTATATTTTATGTTTCTCTAACCACGCGGCTAATTGTAGTTTTTTTTTTAAAAAGTGTAATTTAGTTTGTTTAAGCTCATGTTTAAAAAAAAAAAAAATTCTAAAATAATACCAAGTACTCCAATAATTAAGGAGTATAAGGATGCCAAATCATCATGAAGTAAGCAAAGATAAGAACCAAACAAAAGTTAAATTGAAGCACCATGAAACTCCCATTCCGTTCTCTTATCATCAGCTTTATCCTTAACAACAACAATTACGAAACCCCGTTTTTTAGAACTCTTTCTCATTTTATATTTGTTATTGAAAAGTCTAATTGGTTTTATCTTATTACGTGTAACGATAACTGAAAGCCTGAAACTTGTGCCATGCTAATGTAGCTTTGCAGACTGACATACTCGTATATTATTGGCCCTTTTCCAACTATTTTTGTTTATAGTTATCATCTTTTTCTAGGCCAATTGACCTGGTAAATAAAAAATTCTTGACGACAATTTGGTAAATAAAATAGCTCTGGCGATAATCTAATAAAAAAAATTATTTTAGGCGATAATTAACCCAAAATATTCAAAAAATTCCGATAAATTACACGCAAATGCTTAATTTAGTTCATTTTTCGTAGTTTTCTTATTTAAATCTCCAACACCTTTTCGGAATAATAATTTGAAGAAAAATTATTTTTTAAATATTAATTTTCACGTAATATTCCTACCCCTTATTATCGAATTTTTTTTAAAATGAGGTTAGAAATAAATTTGACATATGGATACAGCAAAATAAAAGGAGATGACATATTAATTTAAATTTAAACTGGGAAAAATAATTTTAAAAAATACAATGGCGAATTAAATTAGGAAATTTGAAGACTTTGTCGGAAAAAAAATTAGATATTTTGGTCTATATGTCGCCGAGATTAATTTTTTTTTTACCAAATTGTCGCTTAGTGTTAACATTTTTTATCATATTATCGTCGGAGTTATTATATTTTTTACTAAATTGTTGCTAGGGGTCTTTTTTATTTACCAATCTGGTCAATTGACCTCTTTTTCTACTTTCTCCATTTATTTATTTTAGTTGTATCACTTTGTTTTCACGAATTTTTAGACAATTTTTGAAGCAGAGAGAAAAATAAATGAGGCTCATGTGATAGAAGAGAGATAGAGAGAATTTATTAGTTAAAAAGAAAAGTGATGCAACTAATTTAAAACTTTGTTTTTAGGAAGTAATGCAACTAAAAAAAATTGAAGAAAGTAATTTTTTCTCAATAAATAACGCGTACAAGTTATGACAATCTTCACTTTATTAAGCAAAATAAAGATATTTTTGAGTATTATTTGTATATGAACTAACCTTAATAACCCGTAACATAATATGTTATGCGCTAAACTTCTCTGTAATATAACGAGTCAAGAGTTATTTGACATCATCCATTATAGACAAATCTTTTTCTAACTGCCTATCGTCACTACCTTGATATCTCTTATTGATGTTTATTTTTTTCCCACCATGTTTCAAGGGTTTGCGTTTATAATCTAACAAAATTTCTTGCCTCATGGTTGTTACTTGTTGGTTTCACATTAATAATTCGAGCGTAATATATGGAGTGAAATCGATTGTACCCTTTCTATTGTTTTCATAATCAACAACTACGGAGATATAAATAGAAATCATAATCCGGCCTATATAGTGTTGGATTTAGGAAGTAGGGATGACAGTATTATATGGATATTCGTCAATCCGCTCCATCCGTTCTAAGTTAATGGTCGAAAATCCAAATTAAATGGATGAAAAGCGGGTGACGGATGGAGCGGATGATGGATGTGGATGATGCTTTACTTCACCCACTAACCATCCACCCACCCATTTAACATATATTAATTTTTTTTTATCTAAGTAAGAAAATTACATTTTTTTCTTGCAAATTGATTTTTTCAAACAATATGATGTTATTGTTTCCTTTTTTATTAATAAAAATAAAAAACGATTGTATAAAAAATACAAGTAAAAAAAATTAGAGTTTATGTGGATTTTTTTCACTTTAAATATTCATCCATTAGTCATCCGCGGATGATGGACGGACGGATATGGATGATGAGTAAAGCGGGTGACAGATGGATGTGGATGGAGTGATTGGAATAATGGATGGATGCGGGTGAAGCTCCACTCGATCTGAATCCGACCTATTGTCATCTCTATTAGGAAGTACACAGAGATACAATTGTATCCCCATTTCAAAAAAAATAAAAATAAAATGCTGTTAACCAAAGTGACTTTTTTTATTTTTATTTTTATTTTTATTTTTAAATAACCAGTCTTTTAGGTACTGCCATAGTAACCAATCTTGTGTGCTACATGCTGTCTGTATAATTAAAATAAAAAGACCGGTTTTTATAAATGACTGGTCTCTTAGGAACATCCATAGTAGCAAACCTAACAATCTAGCGCGTTGTTGTCTGTAGATTAAAATAAAAATAGACCGGTATGTATAATCGTTCTCTGAAGTGTGCTGTTTTGATTTTATTTAAAAGCATTTTTTTTAAATTTTTTATTATTATTTTCTTCAACGAAAATCCTATATTAACTAGTAGAAAAATTGTCTTTTACCATCCTACATTTTGCTACGGTTAATATAAAATCCGTAGCAATATTTTAATAATTTCAAAATTACCTAAAAACACAAAGAAAAGGCTACGGTTAATGTAAAATCCGCAGCGTTAAATCAAACGCTATGGTTTTTATAACCCCGTAGCATTTATAAACTACCGTGCCCCCCCTCAATTCACTCCCCTTTTTTCTGAGCTCATTCCCTTCAATACTCGGCAACCCACACCAAGGATTCAACTCACTCACATCGCAGCCGGTTCGGGTTGCCGCCGGTTTGTGTTGCCACCGATTCGAGCCTTGCTTTTCCTCTTTCGTGGTTCCTCTCCAACCTCTCCATTCAGGTGACTGTGTTGTGATGTGCTCCTGCTCTGCCTCTCGATTTCCCAGCAAAACCCTACTCCGCCCACTATTTCCGCGCTGACTGCTGGATCTCTAGCCTTAGCCAGCGATACCTTTGCTCAGATCTAACAACGATGGACTTCTATCACCCACAAATCCGATACTGGATACTCTAATAAGGTCGGTATGCGGGTTTTGCTGAGTTTTATTTTTTTCTAAAACCATTTGGGTAAAATCTCTGGAATTGTAGGGTTTTTTTTTTTTTTTTTTTTTTTTTTTTTTTTTTTTTTTTGTGGAATTGTTGTGTTGGGAAGAAATTTATTTGTTAAGTAGGTATATTTTGTGCCTTTTATGGGTTTTGTTGAATTTATGGGCTTTCTATCTCTTATTTGCTTTGATTTAAGGCGAGAACTGCAAAAATTTGATCTGAAATTTGATCGAGTTTGGGTACGGTTGGTGTTGATTTTGTGTCTGTGCAGTGGGTTTGCATGTGAAGATCTGAATTGTTTCTTCGCTTTGTCATTGTTTCGATTGGATTATCATTGTTTCTTGTGATTTTGTGCTCTAATTTTAATGGTTTTAGGGTTATTAGGTTCGAATATTATTATTACAGTATTTTAACCACTCTAAATGATCGTAAGGTAATTGAAATAATTCAAAATTGGAGTGAAGTTCAATCAGAACAATAAAACTTGGGAGAAGATTGAATTTGGTTTGGATGGATGTATTTTACAAGAACGGCCAAACTTGATTAATGAAACTTTGTACTGGTCCCTCGTGCAAGTATGTCTTTGCATTACTTGTGGCGTGCAATGTTGTGTCATCGGAGGGTGCTTATCTAACTCTAAATAATTTGGTAATAGACATTATGAAATGTCCAGGAGATGTGATTTCTGTTTGTTTTTCACGTCACTATGGACGGAGTGATATCAAAGGCTTGATTGGGTTTACAAAGAGTGGCAAGATTATTGTTGTTTTTCGAGATCCTGTTTTGTTAGGTTTGGTTGATTTAAGTTTAAAGCAGCTGCTTTTGAGGTTTGATTGTCAGGGGAGAGATGAGATTGATGTCATGTTCTGAGTCAGATTTCACCTTATTCTCCAATGGATTTGACGAATGAACTTGTACTCTGGTTGCAGTTAAGCTAGCTGTAGCAAATATTCATGAACATGTTCTCATACAAAATAGTGGGAACTTCTTTCTAATTTGGAGAAGTTTTAGCATTCTGTTTATGAAATGATATGTTCACTTCTGATTAGATAAAAGTATCTCCCCCGAAATTTGTTTCATGCGTACTCAAAGTTTGCCGCCGATCTTTTGCTAATTATTCTGTTCAGTTGCTTCTGCCTTCTTATCATTTAATGCTTCAATATCTTTCTTTCTTTTTTTTCCCCACCAGCTTGTTGATTATAAGTATTTGGCCACCAGATTATAAGTATTTTGCAGGTATTTCATGGCTATCCTTCTTAGGACAGCTTTCTGCAGGGTGGAATGTTGCAGGTACTTTGAATTTCTTGAGCTCTATTATACTAGTGGTGAATTTTAGTCAATAATACCTGGGTTTGTATCTGATTGTTGCTCGTTTAGGTGTCTTTGTGCATATGATTCTCATTCCCCTGCTATTGATAGTGATTGATTTTGGCTATTGAGTTGTACTTGAAATTATCTACATTTTACAGGCTTGCCGATTAGCCGAGGCTTGAACATGTAGTCATTGGCAAGGGGCAATTCAAGGCTGAAAGGACATTGAGTAATATTATCACCTGTTTGATCATTGTTGACCTTTTTTTGGAGTTAATGCTCTTATTTTCCTTACCCCCAAAGTAAGGATATATCTGCAATATTCTTTGATCTCTTTTCATGTGGATCTGAATTTTGATATCTGATTTCATTTTTCTGGAATCTGATATTGCATTTTATTAGGGATCCAATTTTTTTAAGGTTGTACAAATGGCTGATATATTTGATCAGAGTTCTCTCTTTTTACCTCCCCTCCCCCCTTGTATGTGTGTGTGTGTTTGTGTGCATGATCTTTGTTGAACTGCTGTAAACTTGCATGCTCCATCATTGTATTCAGGAGTTATTGTATATATTTGAGAGTGGATAATTGGCCTTCAAGAGGTGGCTGCTACTTTTAAAATATTGTTTGGGGTAAAAATACCCTAATCACATGGCCCAATGGCCTAGTGACACGTGGCATCCAGCCATTGGTCAGCAGGGCTCCAATCCTCTGCTGACACGTGTCCTCTAAACCCTAAAAGGGGAACCATCCCTTCCCCACTATAAATAGTGGAAGGACCCTCATTAATGGGGGCTGGAACATTTGTTGATCATATTGAATACTCCTCAAAAAGAAACACACTTACCCCGAGCAATATTAATTGCGGAATTCTCCCATTACGCGAGAAGTAACTTCCACATTACGTGCATTCTACCTCCCGTATCTTTACTAACTTGATCGTCGGAGGCGGAGCTCCTACCCCCAGGAGTCTTCGTGATTTTGCAGGCACAGGCGTCGAAGGGCATTCTTGGAATCGTAACTCTCCCGCAGGACACATCAAAAAACCCCGAAACAAATATGCTAAAGTATAAGATAGTTACTTTCGACCCTAAATCGGTGCATTTTTGCAGTTGCAGGTTATGAGTCCTATCTCACTGCTCAACTTGCTGGGCAATGTATTGCAGTTGATGCATCATGACATTGATGCGGCTTCTGTCTTTGATGCTGCTGCCACTTCTGTGCTGCTGCTGTTCTGCCTCTGTGGTGCCCTAAGTCGGTTTTTTTGAATGGCCAGTGCCTATTTACCTTTTTCTACTAGTGAAATGATCGGGCATGCTTGTGTTCGTATTCGATCAAACTGTCTAAAGTCCATATGTTGCTGTCCAAAGTTGATGTTGTTGCTGTTTTCGTTTGTTGAATAGACTGCTAGCCTTATTTGTAAAAAGTTTACATTGTATAATTAAGATTAATTCTATGAATTTTTTTTTCTATATGTTATACAATCATCATTTATTAAGCTTTAAAAATGCAAAAAAAAAAAAAAAAAAAAAAAACATTTTTTTCGGGCCACTTATTGCTACGGTTCAAACAAAAAACCGTAGCATAAAATACTAAAAAGCTATGGTTTTATCAAAAGAACCGCAGCAAAAACGCTACGGTTTTTTAGCGAAAAACTTAAAATTGCTACGGTTCAAAACTGTAGCAAATATTTTTCCTTATTCGCTACGCCCACTAGTTCTACGGTTCAAAACCGTCGCAAATTCAAAAAAAAACCGTAGCAAATGTCATTTTTTCCACTAGTGATGCTCATGGGTGTGACAATAATTTTCTTTGTACTCTGTAATTTCTTTTCACACAAATTTATATCAATTCTTTAAAAATAAAAAACCTTAGGTATTTTTCATTATATTGTAAATTTTCTTGTGCTACATATTAGACCAGGCAAATGAGTCGTTCGGGTCAATCAATATTCGGGTCAGGTCGGGTCAATTCGAGTTTCGGGTCAATGGTAATTCGGGTCGGGTTGGGTATCGGGTCAACACTCTAGGTCGAGTTCGTGTTTGGTGAATTTGGGTCGGGTCAATTCGGGTTTCTCTAGGATTCAGGATATTGATGCTCATGCAGCTGCTCTCATCTTTAGCAGGATCAGGTTCGCTATAACTAGATGGGTGAGAGCCCATATTGTATCTCAACTCCCCACTAATTTCTTGTTATTTGGTTGACTTTGTAGATTTTTGTTATTTTTCATAATAATAATAATAATAATAATAATAATATTGAATTGCTTTGACCAATTTGTAACCGATGATCAATCCTCACATCAATTAAAATTCTACAACTAATTAGTGTGGGTGAGTAATTAACCAACAAATTCATCTCTATAAATCAACCCAAATTATTATTGTAGAAAATGATTCACTAACCCTTTTGGAGAAACATTTTTTTGGGTGAGTAATTTAATTTGCTATTTGTTTACAGCCTTATTTGGCTTTGACAAGCAATATATTAATTTTGTTATACTCATGTTTTATACATGTAAATCAACCCAAATAAAATTTGGCTTCTATGTGTTTTACGCTTTTAATTACTAGCGTTTTGGATTTAGTGATGGTGTAATATGTATGGATTTGTTACGGAGTGTATTTTAGCTTGTGATTCCATTGATTGATTAGCTTCATAGTCAAGTGGATAAAACTTCACTATTTATACTCTATAGGTATATGCTTATAATCAGTTTTTTAATTTATGATTTTTTATGGGCACTTTAGTAGGCCAAATTTATGGAAGCGAAGAGGGAGATTAAAGAATCAAATCACAAATGTAGATTTGAAAAATGTATATTTAGTGAGGCAAACACTCTGTAAAAAATTTCATCAATTTTAATTTCTATTGATGATGAATAATCATTATAGGTAGTATTTACCTTACTTCAAATGCTAGCTTACTTATACACAAACTATTGGGTGCGGCAGTTCGCACCCAATGTTTCGTGCGACAAATACCTTCATTGTCCCTAACACCTTAAATACCAGAAAAACCCTCTCATCTTCTTCATCACTTTCTCTTTCCTCATTTCAGCTTCCATGGTCGACCTAACTTTTGCCAACCTTGAACTGTCATTTTTGCTCTCCAAATCAGTAGTTTCAACCTCTTCGGCAACTCCATCGCCATGTCCGACCTTGATTTCTATCTCTCACAAACTCATCTCCACCTCATCTGCCGCCATCCATGGTGTCAAAATCTGCACAAACCCAGAAATCAAAATCAAATCAAACATTCAAAAACCCAAACAAAAACCTACAAAAAAAAAGGGCAAAAAACAATTAACTGGTACGATTTCATTTGACGGAGTTAACTTGAAAACCAGGCGATTGAGTATAACTAAGTGAACAAGGATCGCCGGACTCAACGGAAACATCGAAAAGTTTAACGGTGAATCAACATTGCCACAAAAGTCCCCGCACGATGAATCGAAATTTGCTGAACAATTAAGACTATTTAAACCTCATCAATAATACAAGGCTTCCATGAGAGTTGAGTGTGGTGGCGGAACTGGTGGTTTGGTGCGGTGATTAATGGAGGCGACGCAGGTGATGGTGGTGGCTGGGTAATTGTAGTGAAAAGGTGCGGCTGTTTTGCGGTGGAGGTGGTGGCGATATGGGCTGATTTGTTGGTGTTTGTTGTTGCGGTGGAGGTGGTAGCGATGTGGGGTGTTTTGTGGTGGAGGTGGTGGTTGGGTAATTACAGTGAAAAGGTGCGGTTGTTGTTAGTTTGTTATTATTGTTGGGTTGGTGTTGGTGAATTGGGGGAACATGGGAGATGTTGCTTGCGTGAGTGGTGAGGAGAAAATGAAGTAAAACAAAACTAATGACGCATATAAGCCATTAAAATGAACATATCAGCCAATTGATGTCTGATTACAGTCAACATTAGGGACATATCAGACATTAATAAAATCGTATCTGGTTTGGGTAAAAATACCCGGGCCACGTGGACCAATAAGAAGGTGACATGTGTCACCCCGTAGAGATCTCAAGGGGACCAATCAGAGGCTGACACGTGGCATCTCCTATCATCAGGGATCGGGTTCAAAATTGCTCTTCGCTCATTTAATATTCCGTGACTCCTTTTTGCAGATGACAACTTCGTTTTATGTAAAGCTATAACGTCGGCTTGTAATAATTTAAAGAGAAAACTAGATGAGTTCCGCTCCTCCTCTGGTCAACTAATTAATTTCCACAAGTCATCAATTATTTTTTCACGCCAAATTACAAATAGTCGTCGCATTGCTCTTGCAGCACATTTCAACATGGCTCCCAAATTTCAACATGGCTCCCAAGTCATCTCTCGGAAGATATTTAGGGGTCTTTTTTAGCTCCTATTACCCTATGAAAAAAGATTTTAAGAGAGTACTTGATAGCACCCAACTACGAATAAGTTTTTGGGAAGTAAATTACCTCTCTAAAGCGGGTCGCCATACGTTAATCTAAAGTAATTTAGAAGCCCTTCTGTCCTACATTTGTTCTTCGTCTCTCCTTCCCACTTGATATTGCGAAAAATCTAGACTCCCTCCATAGAAATTTCTTTTGGAGACAGCAAAAAGAAAAGAATTGTACTCCTCTTATAGCATGGAATAAAGTTTGTAAACCCAAGAACCATGACAGCATAGGTTTAAGGCGAACCCTTCCCTTAAATAAAGCGCTCCTAGCTAAGTTAGGATGGAAGATCCTATCAAACCATACTAATCTTTGGGTTAAACTCATAAAAGAGAAATATCTCCATAACTCCTCTTTTTTTTACTATCAACTTCAACCTAAAGACTCGCATATATTGAAAACTATTCTCGTGTAGTGGAAAATTCTGCGCAAAGGCATTCGCTGGAAAATCGGTAATGGCAATAACATTTACTTTTGGCTAGACAACTGGGTCACAAATAAAAGTCTCTTAGAAACCTTGGAGTTACCAAACTATATTGTAAAACTAATCATAGGTATCCCCTTACCTAGCTCTCAAATGATATGACTCATAAACAAGTATAGGGCCCTACGTCTTCGGGGAATTTTTCGGTAAAGTCGGCTACATGGATAGCACATGATTTAGAGCCAAATGCTGTGAAATGGCCACATCGTTGGATATGGAAACTAAACTCCAAATCTTCTTATGGAAAATAATGCATAATAATCTTGGAATTAGAGACACCTTTTATAAAAGAAAGATTATTTCTTTCAATCTTTGCACCTTTTGTTCCGCCTATCCGAAAACTCATGACCACTTATTTCCTACTTGTGATAGGGCCAAAGAAATTTGGAACCACACTTTAACCCAAAACTGGTTGCCTGGTGCACTTCCACCCACAGACTTAATAACGACATTATCTACGCTTCAGAAAAACAACTCCTCCCTCCGAAAGGTTATCTTCCTTTTATGGAGTATCTAGAAAGAGCGGAACTCTATTATTTACAAGAATGAGACTTTTGACATCCCTAGAACCTTCCACCGAGCGCAATTTGCGTTCAAAGAGTGGAATTATCGCATTCTCATAGATATCTCTTTAAGCTCGGGGTCTCCAATGCTGAGATCCCAAACCCATCATCTTCCTCATCACCCAAACCACCCCAACCCATAATTAGTTGCATGGGAGGCTCCTCCTCTCAACTCCATCATACTCAACTTCGACGGTTCGGTCAAAAACAATTCAGCAGCAGCAGGAGTCATCGTCAGAGGCAGTGACGGTACACCCATTGCAACACACGCTTTTAACCTTCGAACCACCAACGTCTTTGTACAAGACAATTGGATAATTTAAGGGTAAATTAGGAAGTGTTCTTATAAAGAGAAGTGTTTTTACATGAGTCTTCATGTCTCTATATAAGTGTATATATATATATATATATATATATATATATACTCTCTCCGTCCCAATATATAGTTCCTGTTTGTGTTTTTTTCACGGTATTATACATTAAAAGTGAAAAAACTAAACAAAAGTACAAGACAAGTGGATAATTCAAGGGAAAAAAAGTAAAAGGTACAATTATAGACAAAAGTTAGAGAGAGAAAGTGGAAAAAAGTACAAGACAAGTTGATAATTTAAGGGTAAATTAGGAAGTTCAATGAATATAGTTAAAAAAATGAGGGTATAATGGTCTTTGCATACTATCCAAAAATATATATAGGAACAACATTTTGGTCTCCAAAATAGGAAAACAGAAATTATAATATGGGATGGAGGGAGTATTAGATTTCAAAACTACAATTACAATTACACGATTGTTTTTTTTTTTTTGAAGCAAACAATTACAATTATACGTCTCCCTATTACTTCCTCCAACAATATTTGGCCTATTAGTTTTTTGTAAGGATTAATTTTATTAAGTTTTTTTTTATTTGATAATCATTAACTTTATTTACAAAATCTAATACTTCCTCCGTTTCTTTATAGTTGCAACACTTCTCTTTTCACGCTTACCGATGTATGAGTTCAATTGTTAA